GTGAGTTAGCATTTAACAGTAAATAATAGACAATGAAATGAAAAAAAAGTGGGGGGGAGTTAAGGACAGGAAGGCCTGGCGCAATATGGTTCATGGGGTCACGAAGAGTCGGACATGACTTAACGACTAAACAACAACAACAAATTGTTTAATTTCAGTGTACTTTTATTTAATATTTTAAAGTGCATTTTAAGAAAGTCGGATTATTTCATTAGGCAGGAAGGAATGGTGACATGCTGTTAATGCAAATGTGGAAAACACAAAATATGGCATAGCAAATGAATCTTTCATCTTTGGGTATTAACAGGACAAGAAGAGATACAACAATTGCTCTTGCTAGTTACCGCTTGTATGCCTACTACCTAAAATCACGGGTTTATTCCTGTGTCTGTCTTCTTGTCTGTCATTAGCAAGATAGTTAATCTTAGTAAATTAATCATATTACACATTCCTCACTGGGGACCCTTTTGCTTTTTTTTTTTTTTAATAAATTGTTCCTGTTTTGCTTATGTTTTTCCTGTTGTTCATCTGGAACTAAGTTAACTGAGAGAGTCAAATGTGTAAATGCTACCAGGTAACAATATCTAAGCTTGCCTTCTCTCAGGTCTTCTTCAAGTCATAGCTATATTTTATTTATTTTTATAGCTATATTTTATTTTTTAAATGCAGGACTCTGATAATCCTCAGAAATTTAACAAGGGGCTGGGTCTCTCAGAGCCTTCTCCACACACCCTTGGAATGCTCCTCCTGTATGTCAAGTTACCAAAAAGTGCAGAGATAGCTCATCAGGCAGGGATTGGGGCCTCTTTTTCTAGTATGTCTTTTTTAATATTTATTTTAGCAAGGGGATTTTTTTAAAAAAATGGTGCCTCTTCTCATCCTGTATAATCTGGTGGTGTATTCCACTGTGAAATTTCTGCATGCTACTACCTTGTACGTCTTTTATAGATGAAGCTTAAGGCCTGCCATACATTTATTGAATACAGTACTCTTCACAGAATAAGCTAAAACTCATATCAACTTCCTGTGTTCCAAATCTACTGAAGAAACTGTCATCTTGCAGGTGGGCCAGAATCTAATCTGATGTAAAAGAGACATTCATTCATAGGTATAAAAAGGGGAAGTTCAGTAGAGGATGAGGTACATTTTCCCCCTTCCTCCCATTTCTGTTAAAAAAGGGGCTTTATGCAGTGCAAATTGCTTTTGGGGGCAAGGCCTAGCGGGAGTCTTAAGTGGCTTCTTTTGTCAAATCCCTTCTGAATTAGATCCATTGGGGATAAAAAGCTTTGAGAAATCCAATTCTATCCTCAGCCACCATAATCTCTTCTTGTTACTTCTGTGCAGTCCAAAATATGACTCAAATTACCATAACTTTACTGCTCTTATAAAGCAATTCCCTATTTTTGGATGTTCTTGAAATTTGGACACACTTTCATCTCCCCCCTCCCTCAAATTGCTTTACTTCCAGCAGCAGCAGCCGCCAAATTAAAGTGCTGTTCTCTCTTTTCTTCTTCAAGGCTGATTAAAATATTGCATAAGGAGAGGCAATTGACAGCTTTTTTAGGTAAAAATCTGCTCTGATTACCTGGAATTAGAATGGAATTGGCATCAGAAGGGAGAGATTCCATTAGGACTTGGAGGCACTCTAGCATTACTTGCCTAGCTAGCATTGTCAGTATATTGGTAGCTACTCCTCATAAAGGAGGGCCAAAGAAGACAGATGAAGAATCCTAACAGCCATATGAAGATTTCTAGGTCTGGAGTTTGAGAAAGGGGTTTAGCTGTGGGGATTGGTGTTTTATCCTCAGAATGTTAAGTAAGGAAAGAGAGTGAGGAGCCAGAGCTCCTGGAAGCTGTGGTTACTGGAAAGGGAGTTCTCTGCCAGGCAGGCTATAGAAGTACAAAAGAGAAGTCCTTTCTGGTCTACCTAGTAGGTTGACAACAGGTGCTACAAAAATCAAATTCCACACAAGTGCTACGAATGGAAGATATAGCCATTTAGGATGAATCATCACCTCCTTGCCCCAGCATGAAGATGGCCCACTAGACATTTCCAGAGGACTTTTCTTCATGTTACTTCCTGTATCTCATTGTCTACCCACAGCTCTGAAAGTTTTTTCTCTATTCCATCTCCAGACGCTCTGTGCAGGTGATGTACAGTATGTTGGTGCACATGGGAAAGGTGACCTGAAATGACATGCTCCATGTGGGGAAACGGTGGCTCCAGCTGGTTCTGTCAGTCCCAGTGTGTCCCAGTCACCAGTCAATTGGTCAACCTATGCTGGCTGGGGAATTCTGGGAGTTGAAGGCCACACATCTTCAAGTTGCCAAGGTTGAGAAACACTGCTTTAGGTTGACCAATTGACTGGTGATCAACACACTTAAAATTTTAAAAAATGGCTGGGGAAGCCTGGGTTCCGGTCTTCCTCATAGCCAAAGAGAGATAAAGGGCAGTTTCCTGATCACACTGGGACTGACAGAACCAGCTAAAGCCACTGTTTCCCCACATGGAGCATGTCATTTCAGGCCACCTTTCCCATGTGATACCAACATACTGTACATCACCTGCACAGAGCATCTGGAGGTGGGATAGAGAAAAAACTTTCAGAGCTGTAGGTGGACAATGAAATATAGGAAGTAACATGAAGAAAAGTCCTCTGGAAATGTCTAGTGGGCCATCTTCATGCTGGGGCAAGGAGGTGGTGATGATTCATCCTAAATGGCCATATCTTGAATTTGTAGCACTTGTGTAGAATTTGTAGCACTTGTGTGGAATTTGATTTTTGCAGCACCTGCTGTCAACCCTACTAGGTAGACCAGACTAGACTAGGAAATCAACTTCACAGGAAGACTAAAACTACTTTTATAGAAATTGGCTGTAATAACAGAATATTGCAGGTCTGATTGTGCTGTACCTCCTCCTCCTTATTGTTCAGTGAATTAGGGAGGCTGCTGCCTGAGCCGCTTCCGAATGTTAACTCTTTTGTTCTAGATGTAAAAAATGCTTCAGCGCCTTTTGTCTACGTAATGGTTCCTACATATCCTTGTCAAGGTCATCTTCCTTACTCTCTATACCTGCTGATGAGTCTCATAGGTTTTTTCCCTGCTTCTCATTCTGAAACATTTTTCCTCCTTGTTCAACATACAGTTCTCCAGGATGTGAGAGAACAGCAGGGTCTTTAGAACTACAAACAATAGCAGTGATTTATCATTATGGGGATTTTGGCTCTTTTGGGGGAGCAGAATTGCCATCTTCTAATCTAAGACTATTTCTCCAAAATGGGTGCCTTCTAAGAGTTGCACTAAATATCCTTCATCCCTTTGTTAGTTGGTGATGATGAATTACAAATTTCAACATATCTGAAGAACTTTAAGTGCGGGGAAGACTATCTATGACCATATTTCCTTGGAGATTTGAACCATGCAAATAAAATACAATTTGTAATCTGGTATCCAAGTCCATAGTGGGTAATATCAGTTGGGGGATCAACCAAAGTGAGACACAAAATGTGTGCAAGGTCATCTTCATGCATGATATGACATAACATAGGGTATGGGATTGAAACAGTCCTTTTTATAAACTTAGACCAGATCTTACAGCTCTGTGATCTGAAGCTCAAGATCAAACTAAGACTTCTTAGTGGGAGATGCATTTTATACCTTTCATTCAGGAACCGGAAATACTGAACATAGAAATTTGGATGCTGGAAGAGTTTGGGGGATAGGCTGGAGAGAAGCCAATTGGAGACTAAAAGCCTGTAATTTCCTGGCATTAGAATGGGTTGGTTTGTTTAGCAACTACACTTTGCATTAATGAAGTTTACTATATACTTATTCTATTGCACTAGTGAAGTGAGGTAGCATTTTAAATGTTTGTTTATGCTCTATTGGACTGACATTCAAATAATTAACCTAGAGGAATAGAGAGGTTACAGTAGGCATTGTCCAACTTATTCTGCTAGCTGTACAGTACAGATTATGAGGAATTATACTTTAAAAAGTTACTTCCATTTTGAAAATGTATGTGCCTGGATAAGAGATAAAGTTAAGGTGGAAATGGAAAGTTGAGGGACGGGGAAATATTCGTTTATGTATTGCTGTATCAACTTTGATTGATATCATGTTATTTGTTTTTTTCATTTCAACAGAAGAACTCAGATCTCTATAAGCTGCCTCTATCCTTGCTCCGACGATTATATGATGGCCAAGGGATATCCTATGAGGCACTGCTCAGGCTGTCAGGCAAAGAAGAAATCAGTAAGTAAACACCAAGAAATCAGCCTGAAAATAATTCAAAAATGTTTGATAACTTGAAATGTTTTCTTCAGTGTTTTGAGTGTGAAGTCAGACTTATAAATAGCATGTAATATTCCAGCAACAAGATAATTCATACACATGATTGAATGGAGGCTGACATGAATATTTTCTTCACACCCTGAGATTAATGAGGGAGAGATTTTCAATGAAACACAGAAAAATACAACCAGGCATTCAACAATTCCCAACAGAAACAGATTACAGTGGTATGAATTTTCTCTGAGATGGGAGAATTCCCCAAAAGATCTGTGAATATTTCTAACACTATGAAATGCAGTGGATATAACTTCATAATATTGTTCCTCTTCTTATATTAAAAACTTTAAGATAGTGTCAACATCTTAATCCCTCAAATTTGCAACCCATTTATTTTAGTATATTTTTGCTGAAGTCATAGGCTGAGCAGCAGTTTAAATACACTGTGGGCTGTAATACAAATTACACACAGAGAGAGAAATGATAAAAAATAACAAAATGCATGAAGAGGTAAATGTGTAGAAAAGGAATCCTTATTCATTATTATTTCTAAAGGTTTAGTGTCCTCCATATTAGTTCTTTGACAAACAAATCTCATTACTTTTAAGACATGTATTTCACCTCTTGTGAATTCTCAAGGACATACTAAAAAAAAGAAAAGAAATCTGGGAAGTAAATGTCTCAAAATATGTAAGATTTTAATAAGATTATTCCCTGCAACTTTGAATATAACTTTATATAGTGTGTGTATAATAGTACATGTTAATCCAGGATGAGTGGGGTTAAAAAACGGAGCAAGTTTTGAGCTGCAGGTCATGTACTGCAAGGACTGTATTGACTTTAGAAACTGTTTCCACTACCTTAAATATGCTAAGCCTGTTTTATTTCTGAGATCAGATAAAATTTGTCAGTTCAGTCTATTCAGAAGTAGTAAGTGGATAAGAAAATGGAAAAAGAGTAGAAGGGGAGAGATTTAGAGTGGGAATAGAGATTTGGAAGAAAGGAAAAATGTTGGAGAATTTGGATATAGGGTAAGCAGGGAGAGAGAAAAATTATGTGACAGGGGGAGGAGATGGCATGTCTCTGTACGGTTGTGTGTATACTAAATTTGTAATAAGAACATGTGAATTAGAAAAAAATATAATTCCATCCATGTTAGATTTTGATGATTGGTGGAGGCATAGCATTTTCAAGCAGAAAACCTGAATGTTGTGATATATTTTCACAATAAATTCCAGTGTGCATCTGTGTTCCATTCTAAATAAAATGGGATCTGGAAATGCATATGGTAGTGGTGCATTTGGGCCTTTTATCTCCTGCTGCTTCTTTTTTTTTTCAGGTCCCCAGTCCATTGCCTCTTCCCAGAAACGTAAGTTGATCAGTTGATCTCTACAATAAGTACTGTTTTCCCTGCTGTTTCCTCTAGAGACGGCTGGTCATTGACTGAATAAACATTACTGGTACAGGCTTGTCACTAGAAAGAAGGATGAGGTTAAAGGATACCTTCAGCCATGTAGTAAGGTGAAGACACCATTTGAATTGAAAAGAATCAGTTTGGCGCTATTTTAAATGTCCTCTTCCTCCTCCTCTTTCAAGATAAACTAGATTTGTGCTGCTGTCTCCAGCCCTCTACGAGATTAGGGATTTTCTGTTTCACCTGTTTCCTTTTTATTTTTAGTATTTACAGTAGTTCTTCACTGAGGCTAGGATTTCCAACAAGAGTGAAGAATTCAAGTCTTAGAATGAGATTGCAAGAATTATTTGTAATGTTTAGCTAGGTCCAGTAGAGGACAACATAGAAGATTACAGGGGTAAAAAAGGAAGATAGTAAGTCTGCATAGTAAGTCTTCAGTTCAGGGGGATTTTTAGATGATTCAATACATTTCTGACCTCCCAATATATGGAAGAGGCTCATGTGCACAGCAAAATCCATGTTTGCCAGAATTTTTTGTATGTGTATGTCACAATTTAATGTACATATACAAAAATGCATGTCTTAAGAAAAAAATTACACATAATATCTACTGAGTGTACACACAGATCGGAGTTTTACCAAGAAAACAATGAAAAAGTTGCTTGGAAAAAGTTTGTTTAACAAGAAAATAGCATAAAAATTAACATGAATATAGGTAGTCCTTGACTTACGACCACAATTGGGACCAGAACTTCCATCACTAAGCAATGCGGTCGTTAAATGAGTCATGCCTGATTTTATGACCTTTTTTGCCATGTTTGTTAAGTGAATCACTGAGATTGTTAAGCGAATCAGATGGTCATTAAGCGAATCCAGCTTCCCCCATTGACTTTGCTTGTTGGAAGCCCCCTGGGAAGGTTGCAAATGGCAATCACATGACTTAGGGACGCTGCAACTGTTGTAAATACATGCCAGTTGCCAAGTGGCTGAATTTTGATCACATGACCGTGGGGATGCTATGACAGTCGTAAGTGCCAGGACCAGTTGTAAGTCACTTTTTTCAGCACAGTCATAATTTTGAATGATCATTAAAGGAATGGTCATAAGTTGAGGACTACCTGTATTTGAACAGACTTTTTCTGAGAAATGTGTGGATTATGGGACTAAAGTCAATTTTCAGTTTATGTGGGATTCCAAATCTCTCTTTGGATCCTTTGTCTCTCCATCTATACCTCTTACTTGGAAGGTGGAATTAGGCTAACCATATGGCTGATGTAAAGTTTTGCATCTTGTTATTAGCAGTGAGAAGGAATATTACATAAAGTGGGAAAAAGTTCAGGGAAGGAGATGGAAAAACACAGCCCAGATGAGCTGTAGCCAGCATGGCATCCAGATAAGTCAAAGTACTTTGACATCAGAGTGTGCCAACCAGGACAAAGGATTGTTCTACAGGTAGTCCTTGCTTAACGACTGTTCATTTAATGACAGTTCAGAGTTATGATGGCTTGGGAAAAGTGCTTTACGACCCCACAGTCACGTGATCATGATTTGTGACCTTATTTACAATGGTCATTAAGCGAATCACATGTTAGTTAAGCGAATCATGTGCTAAGCGAATCACGTGGTTGTTAACCGAATTCCAGCAAAACACATCCATTGGGGAAGCTGGATTCGCTTACTGACCATGTGATTTGCTTATGACATTGTAAAAAAGGTCATAAAATCAGCTCCGATTTGCTTAGCAACCAAATCACTTAGCGACCTAAATTCTGGTCCCTATTATGATCGGATAGTGAGGACTACCTGTATTACTAAGCTACATTGAACTTTGTTTAGCTTATTTGCCTTTTAATATGTGTAGGTTTACAATGTAAAGAAAAGAAAACCAACAACCACACACACCCCAATTTAAAACAACTCTCTTCTGTATTAAATGATTGAAACAGTCTGTGTTTATTTTGCCAGTCCCAGTTATTTAATAGATTGCATCACCACAGAAGCTAGATAGGTTAGTGAAGAGCCATGAACCATAAACGCTGGCTCAAATGGTGTCTCTGCCATGAATTCACTAAGCAAGCCATTATCTCCCACCACTCCTTTCCTCATCTTCAATTTGGGGTATCTCAAAGATTGTTACTGAGATATGTTTTGTATAGATTTTGAACATCTTAAAATAGAAATTGGGAACCTTGGCCTTTTCAGATATCACTGCCATTGAATTCCCATTGTCTGAGGGTGATGGGATTTTTAACATTATTGGAGGAACAAAGATTCCCAGTATTGTTCTAAAATATTACACTATTTTATTGTGGTAAGTACTGCTTCTCCTATTTCATTAATTCCAGGCATGCAAATGGAACATTTTCCAAGATGCTCTCAGAAAAAGTTGTGACTGGGTTATATGGCTATTGGGGAATATCACACTAATCCTGCTTCTATATGACATTTTGTACTTCCTTAGAATGGATTCAGTTTAGGATATACCCCTGATACTCAGGGGTAGGAAAAACCTTGTGCAAACTGCCCTTAGAGGTATATCCCTCAGAAAAGAATGGTGAGTCCTAATAAAAGTGTTTGTAGAGGGGACAGGAGGCTTTAATAATGTGCTACTTTGTAGAAGAAGCATGATGGACCTGACTTAATGGCCCCTGAATGAAGCTTTTATTCAGCCCCAATACTTTGCAATGGAATCAGTATCTTAGCTTATTAATCAACAGTGCATTCTAGAAACCTAGTTTAATATAGGTAGAGGTGGACTATTATATACAGAAATGTATTTATTACCATTATGCCATATTCAGCATTATCTCTGAAATTCAGAATGCAGTAAATAAGCCTACCAGACGATTAAGATACCAGATTTACAAGCGCTGCATTAAATCAAGACTGTTGTTTTTTCCCCAGTTGGTTGAAAACTGTTTTGTCTAATAAATTTAATGTTTCTGTAGGAGACATGCATGATTTCTTTGTTGGACTGATGGGCAAAAGGACCACAGAGCCTGGTAGGTGTGTTCGTGAACTGAGGATGCATAAGCTTCCTTAAGTGCCCTTTGTGAGTAGAAAGGTGAGGCACAAGCAGATCCCAGCATATCTTCTGCCTGCTCACCCCTGCTCTGTCCTTCTTCTAACTTTAGAGGTAGTTGTTCCTATACACTGGTTGTTGATAAGCAGAAGAAAGGCTGTGGTTCTCATTTATGGACTTCCCAGTGCTGCCTGGTGGAAAACAGGATGCTGGACCAGATAGGCTCTTGGTCTGATCTAGTGACAGGGACCTTCTCATATTCCAAATTCAGGATACAGGGAAGAAAGTCCACGTGCCTATGGTAGTCATTTATGATAGCCTGAAATAGAAATGCTGCTGAGACACATTATAATTCAAAAAAGGCATAAGAAATTAAACTGTACCCTGTTATGTATTTCCAAAATGGGGGGGGGAGCAGCCTGTGCCCCAAAGGCATGTGCAGCCCCCCCCCCAGCACTTCCATATAGTCCCTAGAGTGCTTCAACTGCTTAATTTAATTTCCTATCACGCTGAGGTGATGGGGAACACAGACACTGTAGACTAATGTAATACAATGTAATGTTTATTTCAGCCAAAAGACAGTATAAAATATTGTATACTAGACCTCCAATTTTTTTAAAAAACAGAGACCACCTATATGAGGCAGTTCTATCACTTTACATTGTCATCATAGTAAAGCTTTCATCCACCCAAAATCTTCTAAGTGCAGGTTACAACAACCAAAGGCATCTGTGGGGGAAAGGGGAACAAGTGATGAAAAGTGCATTGCAATGTTGTGATGCAAATTCTGCCCCTTATGTACTTGTGTATGACATTGCAATGCAAGCATGAAAGGATGAAGCTTGCATTGTTATATCATTATACATATTTTTGTCATTTTGATGTCCTGATTAGGAATGGATATCTCTGCCAACCATCACAAGATTACTGTAATGGAAATTTGATATTGTGGAGTGCTTGGGGTTCTCTGAGCTTGGTTCTTTTCTTGCAAACGTTTCATTACCCAGCTAGGTAACATCTTCGGTGCTAGAATGGAGTGGGAGCTGCTCTCTGTTTATATACTGTAGCATGCCCTGCCAGTGTTGGTGGGAGTGGGGATTTTGTTTTGTTTTATTTTTTCCTCTGGTAGTTCCTTGATTAGGGTACTGATTACTGCTTGATTGTGTGCCTGGTGGTAATCTCTGCTTATCTGGGTGATGATTGCTGGTGA